TGTGACGGTATGGTTGTAAGTCTTTTACCGGTAAGAAAATGGGATGGTGTTAATGATTCTTCAGGATCATCATTTCCTTGTTCATAAACTAACGGTCGACTATTTAATGCGGCTTCAACACCAACTAATGCTGTAGAAAGACCTTCTTCATCTAACAAGGTTCGACCTAGGGATTTTCGCAAACCTCCTTTTGTTAGTCCGATCAAACGTTCCCACCATCCTTCCAGACGCAACTGCGTGAACGCAGATGCGGTGATTATTTATTATATTATTTATTATATTATTTCTTACATTATTCTTTTGTTGGCAACATGTATATATTCTTTGTGTACTTTTGTGATAGTAAAAGAGTTTGTTCTATGAGATACTTGTTTTAGTGTTGATTGTAATTAGAAACATTTACGTTTACAACCAACACAACTAGTGTAAAACTAATTCAATGTTACGACATGTGAATTTCAAAATTTACTTTTAACTATTCTTTCTTCGACCACTAATGGGGTTTGTTGGGAGTAAATTAGACTGAAAATATCACATAGAACAAACTGAAACTTAACTTTATTTACGTCAAAATATATATAAAAGAAAGAAGAGGTTGCCAGAACAGGAAACTCAAAAATTACTCAAATAATCTCGAACTCAACAACATCATTAAACATTGGTACATGCGTTATTAGGTTTTCTTTAATTTCCAACGAATTCCTTAGTCCTATATCTACATACAGATTATTTAATGTTAATAACGCTGGATTGGCTTTATTTTCGGCTGAATTATTTTTCAATAACTCGCCATTTTTTTGGATCTCTTTCGATGCTCCTAAGCGTCGACAATTACGCATTCACTTTCAATTTTAATTTGTTGATGAGAATTAAAATGATAAAATGCATTTTAATTAACTAACTGAAAAAGCAATTTTTTTTTCTATTTTTGGAGGTAATTTAAAATTTATAAGAATTTTAGTCGCGAAAAATATTTAGACAAATTTTACTCAAATTTGTTTCAAAAAAATGTTGCATACATAAAAAAACAAACTATATTTTCATTAAATATTGGTGAATATAGACACATAAAATGCTCTAGTTTAAAAGAATTTTAACTTTAAATTAATAGGATACCTGCAAGTGACGTAGTGTGGGAATCTCGATCCTGATTGGTTATTGAAACGTGGCATTAGTTTACACCAGCAACTGTTCTTTTTATTCTACTTTGAGGAAGCCAAGCCTGTCAAGTGCCAATTCTCTTAAGTAACGCAGCCTATAATCTTTCACAAATATTTCAATTCTACCACTATATAATAACACAAAGACAGGCACGAAGCCATGTAGAACACAAACAAACTTATTATGCATCGAAGTTGCCAGGTACACAAAACAAAAATATATAACAGTTACAATTAAATAAATGAACAAATAATAAGTTAAAGTTAAGTAAAAGAAGTAGACCAGAAATAATTATATTTCAACAAATTTGATTTGCTACACGGCTCTCTATTTAATTAACTCAACGTTAATTAATATTTTAAGTTATGTAGAGAGACTTAGCTCAACTTTAATACTCCATATTGCTGATAAAGATTAGCTGGTGCTGACGTCATAGGTCACATGCATGGGTATTGGTTGTCTTCTTCTTCTTGGAGTGCAAGTACCCAATTCAAATCATTACATATAAATTTTTTAAACTAATTTGTAAACAAAAGTGTCGAAAATTTAAATTGTTGCTTCTTAAAAAGAAAAATTATGGAAAGAACATTTATAATTACATGCAATTGAACAATTGTTTTAATTAAAGCAAATTTTAAATTCCTTTATGAAGCACAGCATATAAGATATCTCCTAAATGGAGCTGACTAAAACATATTACATATACAATTACGGATCAAGTAATTGTTTATGCAAACGAATTTTACAAAGTGAAAATTGTTTATGTAAGTACGTACAATTTTTTCGGTGGAGAACATTTTTACCGTGACAGGCCACATTTAAATAAGCAGTAGTAGTGGAGGCCGCCTAAGTAGATATACCCATAAATGCGATTTTAGTGAACTAATTATAGTTTCTTTTTACAGTTTTGTCACTTTATTGCATTATTTAGAAATGAGGCAAAAAAGCATTCATAATTTATTAAAGTAAAAATTTACTATATAATCATTTAAGGCTAATTATATATATATATATATATATATATTTACATATTTGGATACTTAANTGTATTTTCTGCAAAGAGATTACAAGGTTAACTGACGAAAAGAATTTAGTGTTATATAAACAATGATGTTTATATAACAATCACCACCAATTGCTTTCAATATGTCGGTCTAAACACTTTGGCATGCGGCCCTTCATTGGTCAATCTGCTGTGCATGTGGCCCTTCACTGAAAAAGGTTGTGCACCCCTATGTTAGTAATACAATTGAACCCCATTATAATGAACCTAGAAACATGCACTTGTAGTGACCTATTTTAGTGGTTCCTCTTGAATTTCCATTTAATTAACTTTATTTTATGATCTTACTGTGGACTCTCAATTTCTTTTACTCATTTTATTTTTTTTCAACTTCGAATATGTAAGAGTTGTGATTGCATATAAAGGCATTTCTTTACATTATGTCAAATCTTACTCCTTCATGCTCTTCATATATAAATAAAGGTGATCTTTGGCAGAAGATTTTTGCGGAGGATCTTTGGCAGAACAATCGCCAAGACTTAGCAACTTCTGGGAAGAAGCCAGTGAGAAACTAAAAAAAACATCACAGAAAGGGACAAACCAGAAAGGTATAACTCGTAGCCACCCCTGGCGAACATCTACATATTTTTTAAAAAAATTAGCAAGTGTAAAATCTATTTGGTCTCGTAGCGATTGTAGTTGGCGCAAGAGATCACAATAAGGAAATATCCCCATTTTAAGCATTCATATGTAGATGTAGAAATAGATTACTTAATTTCGAATGTGTAGACAATACATTTTAATTAAGTCATTATTAATTGCCATAATTAAGATTTCCATCTAGTCTTTATCCCTCTACTTAAAATTTTGTTTCCTTAAATATCTTCATAATAATCATTTAAGTTTTAACCAATTTAATTTTTACTGTTAGATTCACAAACCTTAACATGTGAGTAAAAGCAATCTAAAATAGTAGATCTATGAAACTAAATATGTATATAAAAATATATCTTCATTTTACCATCTTCTTCGTCGTGAAAACTTAACAGCTTAGTAGCTTTAGGAAGAGACGAATCAGTTTTGTCCTCTTTTTCCTTAGATGAGGAAGAACTCTTAACAGTATCTATTTCTAACGATGTTGACGGTTTCAGATCAGGCTTCGATGGTATTTTAGGTTTGGTTTCAGGTGATTCAGTAGAATTACTTTCATCTTCAGAGTCTGCTCTTGCTTCTCGTTGTCTAAACTTTCGATTTGGCTTTTTAAACAGACCCATCTTTGCGAAATAAGGAAGCAATAGTTTATTTACTACTTTCTTTGTTAAAACAATCTAGAAAGTCGGTTGATATTTGCTAAAGAAAATTATACAAGAATGCTTAATACTCATCACGAAAGTCATTTTTAATTAGAGGCATACTGTATAATACTGTAAATTTCAAACTTTAATCAGTACTTTTAAAAAAAAAATTAATTATTAGCAACGTATTTTTAATTTTTTCTTAAAATCAGCCTGTTTATTAAATGCGCTTTATGCTGTCTATTTCGGCCCAGTAGAAGATTTGCAATGAAAAAAATTAATTTCGAGTTCTGCAGTTATAATCCCAGGTTGGTGGATGCGGTCGTGCGTCATGCAGCATGCGAGGATTTATGCAGTGCCTACGATTTTTTCGCCTGAGAATTAGTCCCAGATTTTCGGAAAATACTTCTTTGCGAAAAACTCGCCAATCTAATTTTCATTCACATGCTGTTGTTGTTGTTGTTGTTGTTGTTAATTTACGACGCACTAGAGCTGCACAATGTGCTATTGGCGACGGTCTGGGAAACATCCCGGAGGATGATCCGAAGACATGCCATCACAATTTTGATCCTCTGTGGAGTGGATGGCACCGCCGCTTCGGTAGCCCGACGACCTGCGCGCGAGGTCGAGCACTTTACGGTAGCACAGTTTAACGAGGACCAATACCGCACACCCTCGGTCCCTACGCAGACTGATCCAAGTGGTCACCCACCCGCACACTGACCACAGCCAGTGATGCTTGACTTCATTGATCTGCTGGGAACCGTGTCTTAACGATCAGTCTACTGCGGGACTACATTCACATGCAGTAACTATGTAGGTACTTTATTTGCGCCGCTCTAGAGCTGCACAATGGGCTATGGATGACGGTCGGGGGGAAAAAATACAGAGAATGATCCCCAGATAACATAAATGCGTCAACATAAATACCATACGCAGATCGTAATTTTAACCTGGCAGAGCACGATCAATCTCCGATCCAGCACTCAGGGCTCGATAAACCTTTGAAATAGGGGAAGCATAATATAATTTTGAGGCCAACCTAACTTGAGCAAAAGAAACTTTTGATATTTTTCGCCCATAAACAATACATTTTAAAGAGACAAGAACCATGTGAAAACTATTAGAACCTTAGAAAGGAATGCAAAGATCTAATGCAATCATGTTGGACCCTTCTTTACGTGCTTTATAGTAACAAAAACATGAGGGAGTAGCTAGCACATATGAAAACAAAATTTAAATATTTCACTAAATTAAATTATAAAATTACTTGTTGTTATACGAAAGGTTCTTTGCAAGATCAGTCTCTTTCTTTTACGCCAATTTGCTTACTTGCGGCAAAACAACACAAAATTCTAATTCAGCATAAATCATACCAAATAATTTTCAAACATGAAACAAAAATATTTTTTGCACTAATAGATATTTAAAAGTCTTGTGTGTTTAGTTCAACAGTAAAAAACAGAGTAAAATTAAATTGAGCGCACATGATAGAGAAAAAAGATTTTTAAAAAAATAAGAAGAAAGCTCATAGGTTACCATTACATAGGTTTTTTTTTTCTCGCTTTCAAATTCACAAAATCTTCAATAATATCTGCAAATTGTAACCTATTTGTAATATCACTCTCCATTTCTAAAAGGGCTAAACCACTTAATTTATTATTTGAAAGAGTTGATCTCAACCGATTTTTTATTCTTTTTAATGCAGAAAATGAACGTTCACTAGTGCAGTTAGTTATTGGAATTGAGAGCATTATTCTCAAAGCTGTGTCCACATTTGGAAAAATATGTCCAATACCCAATGTTTTTATCATTTTTAGTCATTTGGGGGCCCCCTAGAATTTTACAGGGGAAGCACTTGCTTCCTGAGCCTTTTCGGTAATCAGGCCCAGAGGTATTGATTTGGTATGGGAACTTGGAGGACGAGGATAATCGGAACCTGAGGACGATTCGAAGACGCGCCTTCACAATTTGTGAGGCCACTTCCTGAATTTGGACATAGATCTGAAGGGGAAGGAAATTTTCTCCAGATCCCTGCACCCATGGTACTGCTCAGAGATCTCATTCGCAAGCGAAAAATATCGCACGCACATCTAAGGCAGTCCTTTGCGGTGTGATGTATCAACTCCAAATCAATAAATTATGCTAAATTCAGATTATTCTTTTCAAAATATGTCCGGATTTATTTAAAAACGAATGTATTTTTCTAGGCAGTCAGTCTTCTTGAAAAAGTTTGGAGCTGCTCATCCATTAGCAGATTTTAAAATTAATAATAAAAATTTATATTTTCAGCTGATATTTTCCAGCTCTGAAGAATCTCTTAAATATAAATTTTTCGTCCGCATGACTCGGCAGCACAAAAGCTGCTTTCTTGTAATTAGGTTTCCTGCACATCGTCCCGCATTGGAATAATGCGTCTCGTTGTGCACAAAAATTTTGAATATCACAATTGGCGATCGAAATGGGCTGCAGGTGGCGTAGAGCAGAACTCTTTTCGTATGGCAACACTTCACATGCTTTCCCCATTAGCGTGTGGAAAGTCATAGAGAAAGGACGTACGTTAGTTTCTCTCTTGATTTTCATATAGATTAAAATCTTTTAACTTGAAAAACTATATGGAACTGAAAACTACATTAAACATAGTTCTAAAGAAAAGTATCACGGAAATTTTAGAAAATATTTTTATTAAGTAGAAAGGAAAAATATTAAGAAAAGGGAAAATATCGTAGTACATTCCTATATAACTGAAAAGAGGAGGAGAGGGAAGGGAGAAGGGCTAAAGGCATGAAACCGGTCTCTCCCCAGATGGCGTATTCGAGTGTTCTTTCTTATTATCGCTCATCCAACCTCTCTTTTCATAAGTGTATACCAATTACTTTTCTAAAGAACAGAGGAGCTATTATTTTAGTAAGCTATAATGCTCATATTTAAATGAGAAGTTAAAACAGTCTCTTCAAAGTTTATAGGCAGATGAAAAAAAGTTTTTTTAAGAAAATAAAATTTTTCCTTTAAGAGTTTTCCTTAAGAATCTTATCTCATTACCAGCTAACATTCATTTTCCAGAGCATTGATAAAACAAAGATCTAACTTGCTTCAACTAGCATAATTGAAGAACCCCTTTATTAATTTTTCGAAATACATTTATCATTTTCTAGATATTTTTCCATTTTCTCATACTTTAAAATTGATTAGTAACCTTTGCTATCGCCTGACCAGGCATTCCTGAAAGCAGGCTGGTTAAATCAAAGGTGGAAAACCCATTTTTTATTCCTCAAAAGGGAGAGCTTGTGCCTGGTCTCTGGCCTTCTTGTATAAATGGGGAGTTATCGATTTTTTTTAAAAAAAAATAATAATTTATGTATTTAGTCGACGAGCATTTTATAATGAACATACATTATTAACAAAAGTTAAGTATGTCAGCAAACCTATTTGAGTTCAGTAATAATTTTGGCAACATATTTTTTTAATCTTTAGTGTGTGTATATTTTTATAATGAAAAAAAAAATTTTTTTTTTCATTATTTTTATTGTTTCACATTCAACATTACATAGGCACTCACTACATCATTACATGCTTTATTACACAAGGAATGAATATTAGCATCACGTAATAAAAGTAAATTTTTACTCTCTCCATAAAGCAAATCTAAAAATTCAACAGTATAATAAAATCTAAAAAAGAAAAATCAACAAGACTAGAGAATAAATCTTAGTTAGAAAATATAAGATTTGATAAACAATACAGATATAACATCATATTTACAAATGCACAGAGTACACAATAATTTGTTTCAGTTCCACAGTTACATCAATAAAGGTAATTTTTTTAAGATATTCAATTTCAAAGAAAATAATTAGTATATATCTTTACAGACATCCAGATGTTTTAAGTTTGAAACGCATTTATGCAAAATACATTATGTTTCTCCCTGGTATAATATTTTTTTTTATGTATACAGTTATATTATAAATGATCCAAAACAATTTTATTATACAAAAGACAATTATAGAGAATTATATTTTTAAGGAAAAAGTGATTTTAAGTCAAAAATATACAAGATAAAATTTTCTGAAGTCAAGCAAAAACTTACAAGTAATATTTTACAGTAATAAATACTTTGTATTCATACATTATTTCTTAGACGAATAAAAATTGCTTGAATTGGTAATATATTGGATGTTTTTATGCACATTAAATGTAACTCTTTAGATCAATCTGAAGTTTACTTTTGAAGTTATTTTTTTAGTTTACTAATTTTAGGATTTTTTTCTTAACAGTGAACATAATCACCACTGGAACTGATACAATCCCTAACATTTTATACCCTTCAATTCAAAAACGGATTTTGTACCAACAGCATCGCTTAAACTGTTTTCTTTTTCTTAATTATTAAATAAAACTTATACACAACGGATGGTGTTTTCTACACGGGTTACCGTTTTTGGTTTGCTTTGAAGCCATTTGGCTCCGAACATAATCATTGTGTTTTGAGACTCTCTTGAGAAGTATTTCTGGTATATGTGTATTTGCTACCCGATTTTCTATTGGAGTTTAAAAGAAGAATCGTCATATGCAGACCTGTCATTTCAAGAGGTAAGAATTGTCATTTGAAAAAAAAATCGTTATAAAACACTTCTTACTTAGTTAACTATATACTAATTTCAAAATTTAAACCTAAATGATAATTTGTAAAATGAACTTAATCTCGCTGCTCTAACAATATGTTAACACTAATGTATGATGATGCATGGCTTACAAACAAGAACAAACAGCAATAATCGAGAAAAAAAAAGAGGCCAAATTGGAACGGCAAAAAAAAACGAGTTCTTCCTAAATCTAGCAACCATGTCACTCGTTTTTTTAACAATACATCTATAACTAAACTACTTCACTAGAAACTCACGAGAATTACTTCATATCATTAATATCTTATGAAATACAGCAGATTTGAGCTTAGAAATCATATAATTTATTTCTTTTATTAAAAACAAAATTATCGGTTTGAAAATATCGCTCTGCAGAATAAGCTGTAGTAAGCAGCTGTGTACACTCTAACCGAATATAGAGCAGGTCACGAACTTGAGAGTGTTGTTGTTTACATTTATATTGAAAACACCATCCCTACAAAAAATAATTTTATTTTTATTTTCGTTGAAGACACATTTTATCCCCGGCATATAATCATTTACTTGTTAAAAGGCTGTTTATCAAATATCTTGGTCAAGAGAGATGCCATCTTATTCTTATTTAGAGCCCATTTAAAATTTTGTACTATTTTCAGAAACACAAAACTGATTATTATTAGCAATTCATAAAACATTCACTGCAACATCATCAGTAAAACTAATATCTCAGTTTGAGGTATTTTAGCGAGATAACTGCAGACTGATTTTAAATTTCTATCTATAAAACTGTAATACATCTATGTAAGACATTGATAATTCTAACTTGTAATTTATAAAAGCTTTGCCAATTTTATTTAAATACTTCATATGAAAAAAATGATGCATGTAAAATGTCAAAAAAAATAATAAACAATCGAAATAATGTGTCAAGAAAATAATAAACAATCTATAAGAAAGCGACAAGAATAATTCTTCACAATAATTAGGTAAAAATAATGTTTAAAATTACAAATAGTATTTCTATTGAAACCTAGACACGTTCAATTGCCATATAGGGTGAACCCTCATCATCTGGCAAAAATGGCAGGGATGGTAAAAATTGGTTTGCAACAAACAAAACAATAAAAACAGGCTCAAGGACAACAGTAAAAATAAAACAGTTAAGAATAATCAGTGCATCGACCTGGATTTCTGGGAGACATTTTTTATAATCTGCTGCTCTATATTTATTAAATGTTTGGAAAATACAAATTTTTTTAGATGTGAATTTACAATTTTTTAATTTTCTTTTGTCAGTTTTTCTCTCCAGTTGGGATAAATAATTGATTTGTATCATATTTGTATTGTTTTTGTTTTTATCATCCCTTTGCCATTTTATACAGCAACCTGTTGTGATTTATTCTTTAGAAAACATTTCATTCCTTTTTTATCTCATTGGATGAAAATTGACCACAACTATTAGCGATGAAATACGTACTGGAACACTGAGTGAAATTATTGCTAGAAATGTAAAACAAAAAGAAGCTGTCTTTTAAACTGCATTTCAAATGTATTTAAAGCACCAAACTTTTATTAAGCATTTAGTTGTCATACTACTTGGACACATTTCTATAAAGATTTCCTATCCAAATGTTTTTTCCTTATTGAATAACATACAAGAAAACTGCTTTATTGCGAACTAGATCAAAGGTTAACAGTTGAAGGTTTATAAATACATTATTTTAACTACATTTAATTAAAAACAACTTTTTTTCTTCTTCCACTATTGAACAGTAATTGAAAAATAAATAAAACTGTGAGCTTATACATTTAATTACAACTCATGTCTTCATTAAGAATAATTCTTTTTTTATTTTATTAGTGAAAATCTATTATACAACAAAAACTTACTAATTTACTTGTTCCTAGCTATATTTAAACCTTACATTCTAGATAAATATATGTAACAAAAGAAAATAATATTAGAAAAGGAGAATTCCAACTAATATAAATTAATTTTAAAAAAATGCGTGACAAATATTTAACCAAATTTGTATTTTAGCATCCATACTTAACTAGAATAAAAACGAAACACTTTATAATTAATAACCCTTTTGTAAAGATAATCACAAAATAAAGCACAGATTTCCTTTTCTTTACATTCCTTTATATAGGACAGCTCCCATTTCAATCCACTATAAATAATTATTGAGTTGCCTGGAAGAAATTTCATTTAACGGTGGGTTGGCAAGTTTTGAAACAAAGCTTGAAAAGATTGCTTTCTTTGTTTTCAAAGCTTGAAAAACTTTCAATACGGCTTTAATAAAAAACATTCGACATTTTAGAAAAATACTTATTTCAAATAAAATGTGTCTAGGATGTACTTGGACGTAATGATGCACGTAATTCTTTCTTAAAAGAGAATGGCTGTTTTTCAATATTTAAATTTAATAAAAGTGTATGCACAAAATTTTTTCTGAATTTGAGAAACTATCAATGAACATCTAAATTGCAATTTTACAAATGAAAGAGATGTGTAAAACGGAATGTCAAATGGAAAATTATTGTAAAAACAATTTAGTAGATGCCAAGAGAAAATAATTTAAAAACAAAAAATTTTACTGTAAAATGAAATTGCCCAGAAATCATATAGACAACTCTAAGACTAGCAAATTGTACACAAACATATAAACACACAAAAAAGATTTTTTTACTGTTGAAATAACACTACGATTAAATATAACAAAATGCTGTGCATTGCATGGGATTTTTTATAAACTACTACAATACAAAAATAAAATCGAAGATAAAATTGAAATTTCTAAACATTTACTTGGTTGCCATTCGCATAAAAAAAAATCAATCTTTTACTATTTTATTTTGAAAATTATGTAGCAAATAGTCATAATTTAAATGAAAAAGTTAATATTGATTGACATAAATTATTTTCATGGTGGAAATGAATTTTTTAACTATTATATTCTTATTATTCTAATATTTAAAGCAGTATATTAAGCTGGAAAGCAATAAATTTTTAGGTAAATTTTGATGCTATAAATGGTTGGTTATTTTAAAAATGCAAATAAAAATGAGGCAATCATGAAAAATTTGCCCCATGCTATAAATCAAATAAAATGTACTATTAAAAATATAATAGGGTGAAACAAAAACTTCTTTTTTAGATATGAATTTAACAGTTAAACTACAATTAAAAGAACCATGGCAAAAATATTCAACTGTTACAATTAACTCTCTGCTCTCTTTTTTTAAAACGGAAAATTTTTTTTATACTCTTTTTTACAAAACTGGAATTTCTTGGATATCATTTCTTTTTAAGATAAATATTAATAATAATTGTAATTATAGTTTTCATTTAAAATACTTACATTAGAATGATATGCGGGCAAAGTTTTTATAATAGTTGTAACTATAACACTGAACTAAAATAATAGAAAATTTTACTATCATTGTACATTATAATCTCTAATTTTTAACATGATTGTTATAGTATCTAATCTTTCACATATCAGGAATACATGCAATAAAACTGCAGCATCAGCCTAATATGAAATATTTTTGTTTCATATGTTTAAGCATATTTCTTTCTAAACTAACCACAAAAAGCCATCTAGGCAAATATCTTTTTTTTATTAAATTTATTGCAAGTATTAAGTAGGAAAAAAAATAAAGGTTGCTAAAACTTTTTAATAATGCCTGAAACAATTTGACAAAGGGAATGTGAACAAATCTCACAATTATAAAATCAACCACATAAAAACTGTAAAGGAATTGACAGAGCCCTCAAAATTATATTCAGAGATTAAGATACAAATATACATTGCCTATAAAAGAACCATAGTGGTTAAGTAAATAACTTTTAAAATGTGAATCAAAACGACAATAAGAGATTCAAAGTCATTAAGAACATTAATCAAATTGAAATTTACACAATATGTTTAAAAAAATGCATGCTTTAAAAATATTTTAATGTAAAAGATCATTCAACACACTGCAATAAACAAATGTTGTAAAAAGCATTTCATTTATGCATTTAAATTGTAAATCAATAGATTTAATAAGTCATGATTATAATCAAACTTCATGAAGGTAAAACCACAGTTAAAGAAACAATTAAAAAATGGTCAGTCACTGAAAACATCCTACTTTTAAGAACAACAGGAAATAATTATTCTCAATAAGATATACAACATTTACAACTACACTTGCAGTAAGAGTAAACACATCATGTAAAATATAGGATTTTATGAACAATAATGATATAGATACTTTATAGAGCTCCTTTATATACAAAAATATTAATTGTACATAGGAATGTTACCTCCAAAACCAGGGATGCAACCTGTAGGATAATTTATCCATAGTCAACTGAGAGGATTTTCTGTATTGTCGAAAAAGAACATTTGATTGATGTCATTTTTTTCTAATTATCTCAAATTTAATCATAAACATCACGATTAATATGCTTAATATAGTCATTAATTTAAATTAACTATAGTTTCATTTCAAAAGATTCTCTCTCCAATAAAAAAATGAGAAGGTGTTCCTTTTGTAGTTATGCGGTTATTTTCCCACAGTATCTATGAGAATATTTTTTCTTAGTAACATTAAAATGTGAAACCACTGATATGTCATAGTGTGAAAAATTAGGGTTCTGTCCCTAGTCCACTTCATTTCAAATTGATGGTACCAGTTCAAACTGACCAAACTGCCAACATTGAAATTGGGGGCCTTAACTTTTATGAACCCTTGTCCAGCAACTAACGTTTCCAGAACTACTTTTTTTTAATATTAAAATAAAATATTTCCCAAAAATAAGATTTTATTAATACATTTTTAAAAATTCACTAGAATAGAAGAGCTGTCGATAAAAATGTAGACTTTTTGACCTATTTGGATAAAATTTACAAGCAAGAAATTAAAACCTGAGTTAATACAGAAAATCCAAAACATTTGACTGTACGTCTCCATATAGCATCATCAAAACTAACTATTAACACAAATAAAATTTTAGATGTATTTCATCAATTTAAAGTATTACCTTGAAAATAGCTTTTAAAATATAGTGTGCAGAAAAATATTACTTTAGTTTCTCTTGTGAATAAATAAAATACTTTGACAAATTTTTCATCATGCTAGAAATTAATTCTAATATATTTAATTACACATGCAGTTCTAATGAGTGAAATCATGAATTGAACCATTTAAAAAATATAGCTATCTCAAGAGATTCAGATAGACAAAATTATCAGAAATTATACATTATACACACATTACAAAATGCTTAAATTCGAACAGCTCATAGATAGATCTTAACACCAAAAGATACAAAAATGCTACAAAATAAAAAATAAATACTATAGACTAGAAAAGACACAAATGTGTAAAAAATTTTAGCAAAATGCGCAATAATATAGAGAAAAATTATTTTATAAGTAAAGTAAACCATAGCAAAGTGAAAACATACTTAATGGCTCACATTTAAAAATATTTCATAAATTTAGCAGTTTATCCAAGATCAAGCCTAAAATATTAAGGCATACATGCAACTATAAAAAAGAAAAAAAAGAAAAGAATGTAGATAAACATTAACATTCAATATCACGACCTTAAACTAAATTAAAATATAACGAAAATGCAATAAATTAATTTTTAAATATAGTCAGCATAATTTCTTTAAAATGAAAAAAAAGCTGTTAGCAGCAAATAATACTCTTTTATAATTATGAATTCAATATGCAAAATATATAGTAGCACTACAGCTGCTCATTAAATTGACTGAAATGGACTAGACACTTAAATAGGCAGCCATGATGCAAAGAAAGACACAGTTTTAAACTTTGTAAATGAACTACAGTTAAGAGTAGAGATCCAATGCTCCTTGCAATTTTTCAGCAATCTGAAAATAGTTAATGAATTGTAGTATCCTAGTAGTGACAATATAAGTACATAGTAGTCATTTTTTAAAAAAGATAAGTCGAAATCGCTGAAATAAGTAGGAAATTAACTAATGATATTTAAGGGAAAAATTTAGAGTGAAGCCCATAACAAACTAGAACTGTTAATTTTTATACTTATTTAAACAGTAAGCCATAGAGAGTTTCTTTTTATTTAAAAAAAATAATAATAAATCTGTATTCTTCAAGAAATATGAGGTCATATAATCTCTAGGGCTTTGGTAACCAATGTGATTAATCAAGTGAAGCAGAAAGGCATTCAAAGGGGTTTATATTCCAGGATTTTAACCAAAAAAGACACTCAATTGAAACTAAGGAAACTAAAATGTTTAACCTATTACCATTAATATTATATATATTAAATTGAATATTTTAACAGGTAATTATTTGGCCCAAAGAAATATTTTATGAAGAATAAAATATGACTTTCGAGAAACTTAAATAATGAAGTTTTAGATCACATTTAAATTTAACATATCAAGCACAGGTGTACAGTAATTTTTTTAATAATATAATATAAATAGTTAGTAGATTTTAAATGTCTATGTGTTTAACATTGTAATGCACCAAATGACAGAGTCACACCATCTTATGCTATTTATGAGCTGAGGCATTTATTAATGCTAAGCTGGGCCAAAATAGAATCACAAGTTAGGCATTCATTAATGCCACGCTGTGCCCTATGTAAGAAATAACGTAAGTATTATAGAAAAAAATTAAAAAATAATTTTTTAGAAATAGTAAATTTTTTACCTGAAAACCAAGACCATTTATATTATATTGAAACTTACAATATATTACTTTGAAAATATTGATTTAGGCAGCAGTCAGAAAAACTGCACTTTTTTGTAGTTGATAACAAGTACAACTACTTTTGTTTTTTTAAATGCAGTGATTACTATCAAAATATACTCCTTATTTAATTATTTTAACAGTCATGCATAAAATTAAAAAAAAAATTGAATATTGAAAAAAAAAATTCATAAAAAATGGTTTTGAAAAATACAGAAGCCAATTTATTTTTTATGTATTTTTTCTCCCAATCTTTAACTTTTTATAACTTTCCCAACACCGAATATTTATATGAGGAAATGTTAAATATTTGTGATTTCCTTAAGTGTTAAAAGCTTAAGTTAACAGGAAAAAAAAACAAAGCTAAGCACATTGAGAACATTTTTCATAACTTCCATCAATGAACTCACTTAAGATTTGCACCAAAAAGATTCAAAACATTAGTTGTGCTTGAGCCTTGTTTCTTAACTAATGTTAAAAGAAATTGCACAAGATCGCTACAAACTATTGTTTTTCGTATCGCACTACTCTACTTTTCTCAAAAAGAGGCGCATTGCTCTACAAACTATGAAAAAATTTAGTGACTCCAGTAGATTTATTACCTGTAGCGCATTAGTTTCAACCACTGGATTTGGGTTTTTCATTCTTTAAAAAAAACTCAACTGTCGTTTCCCCCCTTTTCAGTGATTGCACTCTTCTTTATTGTTGTCGCCCATTAAAGCAGAAGGAGTGTGATTCTTCAGTGGCGTTATCTATGGCCAAGAATTCCCCACACTCTTCTTTATAAGAGGCATATAATTTAGAAGTTTGCGCTACATATCCAACCACCTCTGTACACCAATAAACAAAAAAAAATTATTAAAAGTAAAATATATATATATACCTGCAAGTAGAATTTCACTTGTTCTTGAAGGAAATTCTGAACCATGTTTTTAAACTCTCCCACTTGTTCTTGTTGAAACTGTGTTATTTCAGCCAAGACAGCATAAGATATGATGTCTGTACGTCGTGAGATTGCAGTTACATTTTCTTGAGAAAGTCTTCCTTCTTCAAGCAGCTTCTGGTGTTCTTTTTTCTTTTGTATAGCACCCTTAAGAGCAGAAGCTAATTAAGCTAACTTTATCTAATAAGGCATGTTTTAAACATAATCTAAAACTCACATAGTACTCAGTTTTCAAAGCAACTAACATTTTCAATTTGCAAACAGTATTTTTCTTAAAACTAGGCTTTAATTCATTTTTTGACTGACTGAAAAGACTGTTTGAAAAACTTTTCTTAGAAAGATTTAATGACAAAGGCTTCAAACAATTCCATATTGTGTTATCTAGTTTAACTTATTATAATTAAAAAAAAAGCCAAAATATTTCTAAAATATATTTGTTTTGGTTCCAATACTGCACGCTGTTATTTTAGTTTTAAACAATGTTCAACACAGTAATTTATGTTTAAAACAAAAATAATCGTAATTTTATAATTTACAATATTAATAAATTTTGTTGATTATTAAATCGAAACTCACAAAGAAAGTTTATGTACTTATGTTAATTAAAATAGTTATTTAATGTTAACATTATAATTGATCTAAGTTACATGCATTATTAGTTGTTAAATAGACAGCACACATTATTTTGCATTTTCAGATGGAACAAATCAGCTAATAACCATAAACTTGCATTATCGCAAACTTTTGAAACAAATAAACATTGGTAAACATATTGTGTTATGCATATGTGTTATTGATGAACTGGTTGACGCATTGCGAAACTGGGTTGAATCTCATTGTTTGCTTACCTTCAACTTTGAATAACCCAAATGTACAGTGAGCAAAATAAAAAAGGGAAAACTTTGAAATTGTAGTTAGATTTTAACTTACTTTGAAGGTTTAACTTTAAATATGTCTAGTATGTTGATGACATTTTAAGATATAAAATGAGACAACATACTTTTTCTGCATAAATTTATTATTTACAAAGAATTTGATCTCCTCCTTTGTCCCAAATTAGGGGTAGGTTACAATCTGGAAAATATGGTTTCAATAGTTTGATCAAGATAGAGAAAAAAAAATCTATGTTTATTTTACTTTGCCATATCTCTATCAACTATTTAAGAGAATAAAAAGGTTTTTACAATGTTGAATTTTCTCCCTATTTGCTATTTTTTATTAATAATATTCAAACTTAATAATATCCAAAAACTTTTATAATTGTAAAGAATACAAATTTTTACATCATTTCAAACAATTTAATTTTAAAAAACAAAATGCAAAATTTAAAAAATTTTTTTTTAGAGAAATGAAATTTTAAAAAAAATTTGTATTTTTGCATTTTACAAACTTTTCAACCTGTTCTGTTTAAATTTTGAACTTTGTCACGGAAAGTTATGTGGATTAAAATTATACAGATATATGTCTGCCTTACAATTCAAAATTTTCTTGACCATTATTAAATTAAAAATGAAATAATTAACAATAAAACATTTTTTTTTACATAAAATCATCTTAGAATAAAAATAGTTATTCAATTATAGGAAAATCAGTTTTAATTCAGTTAATTTCTTATACAGATTTGAGAAATATACATAAAGTGAAATTAACATTAAGGGGTCCAAACCTTCGACCGCTCTTCAAACTAAACTATTTTGCTGATTGTAACAAACCTCTATATAATGAGGATCAAAATCCAACAAAAAAAAGCTATGTTTATAAAAAAGAAAGTATGGTTTTGTGTCTTATTTTTCTAACTTACAGTGTTGTTTGCACATTTCAGGTTACTCTTCTGAATCATTAAGATTGTATTTTAGTATTGAAAGTTACAATCAAAAGACCAAAAGTTACTTAGATAAAATGTTTTTAAGTCTAGCTAAGAGGCCTAATCTTTGTGAGTAATGCACTAAATACTACTTTAACTTTCAAAAGAAAGTATTAGTTATGAATTATTTCTTATTATTCAACAATAAAAATTGTAAGTAAAATTTTAAACAAATAATTGCGAAGGAAATTTAATATTAAATGAAATAAAATTATACACCATATAAAATCCCTAAAAATCAATTTCAAATATTTTGATTATTTTTTAAAAATTAAAAAAATATTTTACTTTTTGAATCTGTATAATTTCTGGCCATGAAGCTAGAATTCCTTTGTACTCGTGCAAAATATCACCAAATGGTTCAAGATCATTGCGAGGCTAAAAAAGAAAAACAAAATTAAAATATACAGTCCAAATTTATAAAAATATGCCCTATTTCTTTCTACAAACGGACAATATTTTCTAACATTAAACTTTCTTAAAGTTTAATAACTGACCTCAAATTACTTTAAATAGAACTTTACTACATTACTTTAAACTTCAACAACAGAAGTAAAAATGATGTTAAGAGAAACAAATATTCAATATTGTCCTCAGGTTCTAGAAGTTACTATTTAAAAAATTTCAAATCAACTTTATACAAACTACAAGCTAAAGAGCATGAATCCTGAATTAACACAAGAAGATGACATTGGAATTTATCATGCAATTCTAGGCATAAAGAAAGTATTCTTTGCATTTGTGAAGAATTTTACTTTAAAGTTGCTTTTGCTAAATGCTTGAAAACATTCAATAGTTGCCAAGTTAATTCTTACAATGTAGTGTTTCTGTCCTACTAAGTAATACTTGCAATAAATTTAAAAAGAAAACTAAAATAAGCCTGATGGGGTCCATATTATCACAAATCTGTAAATTTGGAAAAGCTAGAGATTTAAAAGAACATTTCTCTCATCAAATTCTTCAAACAATTTATTTCAAATCAATACAATTTATCTTTCATAATAGTTTAAATGAAATCTTCCTCTTGTACAATGTATTTATTCCGTATTATTCCTAATATTCACCAGTATTGTCTTCAATATATTTTTCAGTACATGAATATTCAACATGCAGTAAATTTTAGTAAAGCGTAAGAATTAGTTAAGGGAAAAATAAAAATTATCAATTTTTGGAATAAAACACTCCTGATTAAAACAGTCATAAATTTAAAGTTTTAATACACTTATACATGTTAATATGACAGTCATTAATAATCGAAGATGTTATCCAAAAATCGTAATTTATGTAATATAATTAAATTAAAATTCATTCTAAAAATGACATTTATAATTTCTTATATAATGAGAAAAAAAATAAAAATATTTTTAGATTACCTGTTCTCCATATAAGTCTCCAATCTCTTCATATGTATCACCAGTGACTTTAATTGCTTTAGTCAGATCTGTAGAATCTGATATAAATAAATAATAAAAAAAACAGTTACAGAAGTACAGAAAATTAATGAATCAATATGTTGAAAGGATTTTAAAATATTTAGATACTAACAGGGTGAAGTTTCCATTTCAAAGGTCTCACCCAACTCTTTAAATGAAGATGAAAGCTTGTGAAATTCTTTTTTGTAAGCTGAAAAAAAGAATATTCTTTTTATTAATTTTTACAGATAGTAACTCAAAATAAATGCCCAGTACTGAAATAAAACAAAACACAAAAGGTTATATTAAATATATAACCTTTTGTGCTTAAAACAGAATCAGCTATATTATAATAAATAAGAAATTAGCTCAGCTGAATGGATAAATTCAAATCTGAATTTTTTAGAGTAAATATGCCATTATGTACTTTTTCGTTCAATTTACATGTATTGTTTATTTTTTGTTTTATTTCTATATTTAGATTCTCCAGATAATTTTCATCGAGGGAAGAGTAAAAATCCTTCAGATTTTGAGAGTAATTTCAAAACATTTAGTAACAAACCTTTTATGTAACAGGTGTAATTGCATTGTAATAAATACCAGTGAAGTACTTTTTTAAAAAAAAAAATCTTTTTGCTTAAAATCTTTAATACATAGTTTATAAAACATATACAAAAATTATACATAATAAGTTATTAAAATGGGAAATAAATTTATTATTACAGGAATGTCTGGAAAAACATAATACGATAGGTGAAGTACCAATGATGCTATTGCTTGATATTTTTTCCTTTAAATGTTTTAGATATTTTCTTAATAAGTCTCAAAGTAGACTGCTTGTAAGGTAGATCAACAACCAATAGATAATCAAAGTCAATCATCAATGGCAGGGATCAGTGAGTAAGCGGGTGACCACGTCGATCAGTCTGCAAAATAACCTAAGGTGCACAGTATTGGTCTTCATCAAACTGTTTAACCATAAAGTGCTTCACTTCGCTCGCAGATGGTTTGGCTACCAAGCAAGGGAGCCATCCCCACTGCAGAAAAAAAAAATGTGATGGTATGTTTTCAGATCATACTCAGAAATGTTTTTCGGACTGTGGCCAATGGCCCATAGTGTAGGTCTAGTGCAATGTACTATTACTAAGTAATCAAGTAGTACAATGCATGTCTTATTACTAAGTAAACATGTTTAAAAATTTACATTTCTTGATAAAACTCTTAAGTTAAAACATACATCTATATTTATGAATGTCGAATATATAAAGATAGTTAAGCTTTCATTGTAATGAAATATTTGAAATATCAGAAACATCAAACCATAATAATAATAGTTAAGAGTTAAAATAGTACTCTATAAAATGTATTCTTGTAAAAGAATATAATGAATATAAGAAAAAAATAAAAGAATATAAGAAAAGAATATAAATAAAAAATTTATCTTTATTATATTTTGCAAATTAAAAGAATTTTAGATTTTATATTGATATAAAAAATCTAGAAACTTAGTGTTTATACCTAGTGTTTAAAGTTGCCTGAAATTCACAATAATAAATTCTACAATAGAAAACTAATTTATCTGGTAATATTTTAAACTAAAAAAAACTTTGAAACTGCCATCCAGAATTGTTTTATTTTTTATTTTAAGTCATTTTCACTTATGTAAAAGAAAGAAGGAAAAAAAATCAGAACTGTGCAGAATACAAGTTATCCTCCATTGAATGGACAACATTTTAACTTAAAACAATCTGAATGGTGCAAGTGTTACAAAAATATTTTACGCATGTCTTATAAAAAGAATGAATAAAAGGCAATACAGAAAGCAGTGCACATTAAATCTAGCAAAATTCATAAAAAATAAAAATGAGTTACAATTAAATATGAATCTCCTCTTATTTTATAACCCGCATTGAACAGCAAATCTATTTTTTGATTTGCCGCTATCAATATTTAGTTTCATAGCATTATAATTTTGAACCCAATCCAGAAAACAAGGGGATTCCTAAATCATGCCTTCAGAGAAACTAGCCCTTATTGAGGAAAAGAATACAAAATATTTAAATCTATAATAACAGAACTTTCTTTGAAAGAAACGCGCAAAGCAGCAGAGTTTTTCATAAGAATAATTGAAGCAATAAAGAAAAAAGAAAACAATGGAAATAAAAATGCAGCTACCGAAGCTGATGTCTTCAGAGAGTACCAGCTCCAGAAGTCATGAAAACAAAACATTTTCTATTGAGAGAGCTAGACAAATGTCAAAAAAATGCTCTCAGTACCCCGAAGGTTTCTCAAAAGTCCAGGAAGAAATACATAAAATCATGAGAATATAATACAAAAATTCACAGTAAACTAGTCAAACAGCAAATTCATGAAACTAACTCAACGTAAATGAAATATTTGAAATAAAAGAAAACAACGCCCCCTATTAAAAAGCGCAGAAGGAACAAAAAAAATAGAAGGAAAGTTTAAGATTGCATAACAGATTAATATAATGCTTAACTGGGGCTGCTGGCTGCTCAGACAAGACTTTAAGCCTAGTGGCCAAGGAGTTATAAGACATCATCAGCACTTTGGTCGGTGCAAGTCAAGAGCAGAATTAGTATCCACCAGCCATTACTGGGATTCAAACCTGAGTCACCTCATTGGAAGGTGAATTCTCCACTCCCTGAGCCACTGCTGCTTACATACATCTGTATTCTACGTAGGAATTTTCTTTTGTGCACGTCAAACACTGCCTTTCATTAATTTAAGAGTCATTAAAATAATCTACATTGTATACTTTCATTATCAAAAGCAAAATCACTCCTTTCTGGGGTTTGATAAGTAATGCTCAAATAACAGTGAATGAATGAATAGGCAATGGATTTCGACTTACAGCCTGAATACTTCTTGCATAATTCTTGTGCAGTACCATGCAAAGACTTGACAGTGTTGTCCATTTTGAGGGAGAACTTGGAAAAGTTTTCCACTTGCATTTCTCTAAAAAGAAGAAATTATAGTGTGTAGAGAAAGAAATCAGTACTAATAAAAATTCAGAATTAAAATGAAGGATGTTTACAATTGAAAAGGATCTAAAGATGTTTCAGGAGCTTTGATTGCATGGAAGAATGAAGCTCCAACAAGTTCATCCCGCTCAGCTCTTCTCTTGCCAGTTTTCCATTGCTTAAAAGAATTAATAAGAATTAATATTTAAAAAAAAGCATAATGGCGATTAATTACAAAAAAAAGGAAAATTCTGTATTGCAATTACTGGTTACTCACAGGGGTGCAGAATATGTCCCATCACAGGAATGAGGTTCGGGAGAAATTCAGGCAGTATTGCAGGGAATTTTTGGTATAATTAAAAAATATTGACACAAAACTTTATAATGAAAAAAAAATTGCTCCGCAAAAGTTTTACTTGAAAAAAATTGCATGAAAAAATATCCCTGGTAAAAAAAAACTTACAAGAAAGAAAAGCGAGGACTGCCTTAATTGACATAAGTAAAATAATATTCGCTATCACGCTAAAAGAAAAATAATATTTTTTGTAATGTTAAATATTAAACAAATAACTGTCTATGACAATTTGACTATTTATTAGCTTGAATTCCTAAGGCTTATGAGAGAATATATATATATATTGAGTTTTTTTTTCAGCACATATGCTAGTTATTTCAAGATTTGTGCAAAATCAAATGATTTTTTTTTTCTATGTTAACAATTATTTCTTATAATATATTTCTTAAAATTACTGTAAAGAAAATTTGATTAATATTTTATGCTAATAATAACAACTTATGTCTAGATTTCTTAGAAAAGTTTGAATATTAATTTAAAAAAAAAAACAATGGTCAGAAATGAAAAAATTAAATGGTTTTACTTATTTTAGAAAAATGTCACCTCTTCCTTAAAAAAAAATAATAAAAATGATACAGATCATAAACAGATTCATACAGATCATGTTTGAAATATTTCATGACACAAACATTTAAAATACAAGTGTTATTTAAATTATTAAATTTGAAAAAATACACTCTCACTTTTTCATCAGTGCAGGTAATGAAATGTTTCCACACATCGCTCTGTCCTAACACTGGATGATTACATATTCTACTAATCCACATTTGAAGTTGAATCATTCGATGCTCAATGAACATATCTTCGTATCTTCCTGAAACAAATCAAATAAGATCCTTTTTTTCATAAGTTATTAAGTAGGTGACTGAAATAGCATTGTGTATACTAAAGTTGTAGTTTTAACTTATTGTGGCACTTTAAAACTTATATACAATTCTAAGAAAAGGTAATACTGTATAGCAAGGTGTGAAAAACCACAGCATTTCAACATGCTTGAATGAATTCTTTTTATACCCAAATTTTTTTTTTCTATGCATATTAATGAGAAAACAACATATGAATGTAACAATTAATTTAAAGAAGCATATCTGTATATGTACCTCCACACTTACTAGGAAGTCAAAATAAAACTAAAACAAACACAAATATTAAGTAAGAAAAATTTTAATCAAATGTCACACAGAAAAAAATCATCTAATCTGACATTGCCGAATCTCTTCAAAAATTTAAAGCAGATGCTTTTGCTGTCTCATTTAAATTTTCTCCTTTTTTTTCTTTATCTGCAGCAGTATGTTTTTTTTTCTTTATCTGTAGCAGTATGGTCATTAAACATAAGTTCAGTTAGATAAAAAAATTTAAGGTAATAAAATGTTACAAAATTACAAAGAGTAAAAGAAATTACCTGAGAATTGCTTTCCTGGAAGAGGTGGTATTGGAATTAAAGCATACTTGGTTTGTAACCTTTCATGCAGCCAATCAAAATGCTTAAAGCGTCTGCTAACTTCAATATTTGAAAACTAGGAAGAACAAAATAGACATTAGAAATCAAACCAGTTTAAATTAGTTAAAGACTAGAATTTCAAACCTTTCAACTTATTATCAATCAATATCTTTTAAGATTGAACTCATAACAGGGCTGCCACTGGATGAAAACAAGAAAAATAGTTGCTTTAGTTACATCATCTTTGAAAAAAAGTCTCCTAAATAGTCTCCAAGATATATAAAATAGTTGCCAACATCATATCCTCCACTAACATAATTTCAATTATTTTTGCTATAATAGTGTAAAATTCAAATAATATGCAGTTAGATACTCATATTTTATAAAAAAATGTACATTTATTTGTGGATTTGCCAACAATATATAGACAGAGAAATGCTGAAGGAACTGATGCAGAAAACTTCCAAAATTTTTAAACATCTTAAAAATATCTATTTTTAGTTTTTTTCTTTATGAGACATAAAGCTTCAAAAATAATATAAGAAACAATAGTTGTAACTGAAAAAAAATTGAAAAAAAGAGCCAGGGACTAAAAATTTTAGGCATTATAAAAAAAAAATAACATTTACTTTCATACATAAATTTTTTAAACCTTACTATAAAAAAATTTTTTAGCATATAATAAACAAAATCTGCATTTCAAAAATACTTAAATAATTTTAAACAATAATATGAAAGGAAAATTATTACATAGGTACAAATAAATTAAAATTAAGAATTTTATGATTGAAAATGAAGTGGGAAAAAAACACACAAGGTAGTATAAAATGTGAAATTTATTATTTTTTTAACATTTTCTTGGGGCTTTTAGTATAGAAATCAATTAAATTTGTTTTCCTTTTATGAACAAGCTTATTGATTTTAACCGATTTAATTTCATGCTCTCTCTCTCTGTGTTACTCGTAATTTTCCAGCAGCTTCCAATAATCCATGAACGATTCTTATTTGAACACTATCTTTTTTTTTTACTGGCATCTTTTAAACGCTCATTTCCTTCTTTAAGTAAAGAGTCTACTAACGACTGCATCTCTTGATGTTTCTCCATTAAAACTTGAGTCTTTTTTTCAAGACTGTTAATCCCTTCTTCTTTTCTCTCTACTTCTTCCTTCAATATTTCCGATTTTCTCTTTTCGTTTTCTGGAGCCTCTTTCAGCTTTCTTTCCTTAGCCTTTTTCTATTCTTCTAAATATGCAAAATATGAATTACAGGCACTATAAGTTAAGATTAAAAGTTTTTTTGAAATTGGTACTTCTGAAACATTTTTAAATTTCTGTACACCATCTTTTATATTAAGCCTAGCATTTAACATTTTATGAGACAGTGATGCTTTCTCTTGAGAAAGTACCCTGGGAGATATAGAGAAACATCTCTCTACATCGCTATTGCCGTGAGATAAAGTTAGACTAGCTTTAACAAAAAGTCCGAGAGTAGGATATTTAACTTTTCCTGTTGAATCTTTTTCATAGATGATCTCTCTCTCCAAAAATGATCTGTTCGTAACTTATTTATTCCATGATTGGCTACTACCAGTTGAGACTGCAAAATTAACCATTCATCTCTGATTCTCAATACCAAGATGATCGTCAATACTAAGAAAGGTAATACCCTTAGCAATTTCACAAGCGCAATTCAAGCTTTTTGGTTTGGCAATTTCATCTGGTTGAAAACATTTTAAATAAAATAAAATTTTTCCGGAATCCAAACAGGTTTTCTTGATTAAATAATCAAAGCAGCACAATAGTGTTTCTGCATATAAATGAATTTTTGAATGTAATTCTGATGAGAAAAAAAAAAAACTTCCAAAAATTTCTGCAGAACGAAAAATTAAAATTTTTTTACTTCCTAAAGGAAAAATTATTCTGCAAAAGCTCTGTAACATTCTGCGACTATGTCGCCGTGATTCTGGCTCAGGATTGTTAACATTATCTAGAGTTTAGCTTTGGTTTCAACATTTTGCTGAAACAATAATCGAAATCAGAAAGAAAAACATGTGTATCAATCTTAAGCTGTGCAATTTTTTTTCTCTACTCCACTCCAGTTAAACATGAATTGGCAAGCAGACACAGAAGCTGACATATTAAAAAGAATTCATGTTCTACTACGTTTTGCTCCTCACATCCCCATTCAAAATGAATGAATTGAAAAACAGGTGCAGTTGCAATACTTGACCTTGAGTCATTATTCCGTTTTGGCTGTCATTATGCTTTTTAAGGGAGGAATAGCAGAAATGAGAGGATTTTTAAAAAATAAGAAAAATAGGAAATAACAGGGGGGAAAAACGAAGAGTGCCAAAATAATAGAAAAAGTAGGAAAAATAGGAGGTCTGTGGTCCCTGCAAACTTCAATATACCAAATCGAACCGAACATCAAAACAAACCGACTCTTATTCTTTCACACTACACATAAAAACAGGGAGTTTTATTTTTATCTGCGACAGAACAGGTGAATTTGAAACTCGAATTTCCTTTCTCGGTTCTAATTTGCAGCTGCTTAGTTTAGGCATTTAAAAAAAAAAGAAATATTGCAATTTAATTCATCTATCAAGTGTTCATTTTTCATAACTGACACATTTCCAAATTTAAAGCTTATCAAAAAAATTATGATCACAATTTGACAAAACGAATATCACCATGTACCTTTTTCTATTCTAAATTGCTCTAAAAAATTAACCTCACATTTTGTGTAATTAAAGACAATTTTTAAATTTTTTGCTACTTTGTTCAAATTGAAAGAGGGGAAAAACCCTCAGAGATATTACATTAGCTTCCTGAAGCAGGAGGAGCAGGCACATAGTGCGAATTCTAATCCCATTAGTCTGATTGGTTAAACATGTCTGTCTTGCTTTTGACACCAAATAGTGAGGAAGCATAAAGTTTGGATAAAACGAAAGGGCAGCAAAAAAGCGGTGGAAGGGGGAAACTCATGAAGCTATTCTTCATTTTAGTCGCTAATTGACTTAAAAAAGTCACAGATTTTACGCAACTCATTGGAAATTAATTGTTTTTACTCATATTTCTACTAAAATAGTCGCCACAGTTGCTATTGCTTTAAAATAGTTGATTTAATCGCCAATGGCAGCCCTGTCATAATTAATTTTATGTAACAAACAATCATAAAAATGAAGCCTGGAAACCAGTGGAACAACTTCGTACAATGTTACATAATGAGCTTTTATTTAATGATAACAAGATTTAAGATAATTGCAATTATTGTGTATATAGAGATCACACTAGAATCGTAGCACTTTTTTGTACGCGTTTTAACTTCAGTTACAAGGGATGGATTACAGTTACCGATATACTATACATATATACAGTAGAGTCTCGATAATTCGAGGTAGATGGGACAGAGCTCATCTCAAACTTTAGAAAACTCGAATTATCGAAAACTTAAAAAATATTTAAATAAATGGAAACAAAGCGATTTCAAAATTTAAGTGTTTATTTGAAAAATCTATTACATTAGATGATCAGGGTACGTTTACTGCATTATATGAAGTTACAATCGTCATTATAATACTGTATTAGGTTAGTTGTACTTTGAAATAATTGACTAATGCTTTTTGTTTAAACACACTGTTCACATGTTTCAGTGTTTAAAACACAAATTTGTTTTTCCACATTCAGTCCTTTAATGGTCATAAAACCAGTCGTTCCATGTATTGTGCGTGTGTTGGTCATTGTTTGGGAGCAAGATTGATTTTTTCCCCTACCAGCTTGGATTTATGGGAAACTCGTTCTGTCAAGACTCTACTTTATAGTGTAGTATATCACTGTATGTACTACATAGTGATATACAGCAGACAGTAAAACAATAATTACTTTTATATTTTCCTTAAGACAAAACAATATAATGAGTTTATATGATAACATAATCACCTCTAACGACTATAAATGCCCAGTGAACATTTCTTTTAGAATAAATTACTGTTAAGAAATTATTGGTGCTATACTATTACTATTTGTCGAAGATGTTGGATGCTGAATATCATTAGTTGAAGAGGAATTTGATTGATGTATTTTCAATCGTCCCTAATTATTCCAGTGTGATACGGGCGAGCAATTATATAATAAACATCAGAAATTGCTTAAATGAAGAATGAAATATGAATAATAAAAATGATTTCTTTTTCTATAATTATGGAATCATATGGAGCTCCAAAGTAAACAATGATTCATTTTTGTGTACTGATAAATAAATTTAGGAAATGGCCTGTAGAGTGTAGCTGCAGGGCTAAGCCCCACAGGACACCTCCGTGTGCCCAGAAAACAAAAATATGAGTCTTGTGTGTATGTTAGCATAGTATTGCCAAGGAAAGTTAAGGAATCCATGGCTATTGATTAAATTTAATGCCAAGGCTCTTTTTCTTAGCCTTATGCACTCGAATGTGTAGGCGGAAATGAAAGGGTGTTAAATAATAGAGAATTTTAATGTAATCGAAACATCAGTAACCCTATAACGGTTTACCAATTTTGTGCTAATGTGTTAGGCAGATGCAGAGGGAATTTCTAAAAACAGATTTTATTCGGCACGCAATTCAAGGATGTGGTATAAAAAGATTACAGATTATATTAATGACTTTTATTTATTGAAAAAGGATTAAATAAGATAATAATTTGGTTTTTAAATGTTAGGAAATATGTTACGCATATTTCAGCATAACAATTACAATGACTTTTGGAGTTTGAAGTTTTAAAAATCATTATAAGAATACTTTTTTAAATTTAAAAAAAAACTATATAAATTTATGCAGAGTATGAATGATTTAATTACACTTTCAAAACTTCATTAAGAGCAACTGAATATAGCTGACAAAATGGAATTTGTTAAAAATATGTGCACTCACAGATGGTGTAATTTGATATGCAATGTAGCTTTTGAGACCACGTAATTTGCTTTCTTTTTTTGGCTTAGAGACGGAGCAAGTATATTGTTCTCCAGTTCTCAACCACATAATTTCGCCATCATCTTCCTATAAAAACAACATTGAAAAAATATTTTAATAGTGGAATTAAAATAGAAAAATTATATCATTCTATTTATTAAATATTAGACTAGTAATTTTAAAAATTTAATGAATAAAAATCAATAACAGAAGTGATATCTTTTCAAAACAGATTATTTTTTTAAAAAAATTATTCTAAAAAATTAAGGCTAGGAATGAAAACTTTCTAGAATGTCAGAGATTAACACTGGTCTATGACCTCAACAGCACAACATGCTTAAGACATATAATATAAGGGCACACACACTTAATAGTATCAGTAAGTTCTGAGTTTGATATTTCTAATGATATGCAACTATTTTCAGTAATGTTTGCAAGAAATGCTTTGAATTAAAATCCATCAGAGGCTTTTCAATTCAAAATTTATTTTAATTTTCATAGTGCGCATGGACAAACTTGTTGCTTCCTAAAATGCAGTTTAATTTAAATAGAAATATAAACATTAAAAAAATTAAATCAAGATAAAATTACAAATAATTTTTAAATAGGAAGCATAAAGCTTTAACTATAAAAAACCGTTAAACATAGAATTAAAAAAAAGTATAGATAAGAATTGAAGGTTTTGTAGATTTTTTTTACTGCCTTTGTGAAACAAACAAAAATACACACATCTCTCTACATTTATAATATTTATTAAATAAAACAAATATTGTTAAATAAAATAACTTTAATAAAAAAGTAAAAAGTTTCCTCTATATTATTCCTAACAGCCACATTAAAGGAAAACGAATTGCTAATATTTTAAGTATAAGTCAAATCCCACTAAAACCAATAATGAACCCAATTCTGGTTTTAAAAGATTAGATTGGCTAAAAATGGAAAACTTTTTTTAAAATAAAAAAGTTCAAGGTGAGTAAGTTTTTTTTAAACAAAAATGCTTAAATGACAAGAAAGAATGCTCTAATGACACGTCCAAACAGAATACTTTAATGAAAAAAAAATTCTAATTAGCTTATAATGAAACTTACGCCAAAAATTAATATAGTAATATAATCTAGTTTTATCAATCTAGCTTTAAAAGATTAGACAGGTCAAAAATTGAAATCTTTTTTCAAAATAAAAAAGTTCAAGATGCTTAAATTTTTTACTAAAAACAAAAATGCTTAAATGACGAAAAGGAAAGCTCTAATGACATGATGAGTTCAAAAAAAAATTTTAATGAAGAAAAAACTAAAATTCTAATTAGCTTATAATAAAACTTATATTAAAAATTACGATAGTAAGATAATGTACCTCTATTGTAACATAATCTTCCGCAGACACGTTGACAGTTGTTTCACCTAATATAAACGTTTCCCCACCAGATTTCACAAAAGCTGAAAATCTAAAAAAAATATATAAAATATTGCGTATAAAACTCTGCATACAAATTCAAAACATTTTTCTTGAAATGAAAGTAATCATCTATATTACCTTAGTTGTTATTTAGAACAATGATGATACTGAAAACACAAATATGGTAATAAATTTATTTCCCAATTAATCTATAGTTATGAGGATGTATTATATAATGTAAGGGAATATGAAGTTTAAAAGCTTTTTAATCACATGGTTTGGTATCTACATCCAAGTCAAGTAGCTGAAATTAACTCAATGAGGTTTATACTACTTAATACATAAAGAAAATTCAGGTTTCTGAGAGGTTTTTTAATCATTAAACATTGTTTTCATAAACCAGTCAACAATTCCTTAAACTGAGTCTGAACTCTCTCACTTTTTTTTAATAATTGAATTTTAATTCAAAGAAAAGTTAAGCTTATTTAATATTGAAAGGACATAAAATAATTTTTACAATTACAAGAACCCAACATATTTTTAATTAAATAGTTTTGTCGTGGTTAAAAAAAATTACATTTTTAGAAATTAATTTTTGTATAAATTTTGAATGAACCGAAATGTTATCTTTCATTAAGCTTTAAAGACATTTTAGTATTTTTGTTATACAAATTTTTTCTCTGCTGCTCAGGTAAAAAAAGATTATGTTATACAATTCTGTCAGTTTGTGCACAATGCATGTCCTTCTGTAACTGTATAGCAGTTGTAAATATAATTTAGTTATAATATAATAATATAAGTAAAACATGGTTGTCAAAAATTTAACTATATTAAATCAATAATTTAATTTTATTATTTATGATACAAGAGAAGATCTATATAACGCAAACCTTAAAACATGGAGCTTTTTGATTTCATAGAATTTTGTCTTAAAATATCTTTTTACAAATTCACTTATTAAAAATGGAACTATTAGTATGGACAAGCTTGTTGCTTCCNTAATGATAATATTTAAATTAACTAAATAATAACTTTTAACAAATGACTAAAAGAATGTAAAAAGTTCACAGTTCTAACTTATGTAATTTCATTGTTCACAACTGCGAAGTTAATACGGTTTGTGGAGAATTGCGTTTCATAGAGTATAGATCTTCCATATACACAAAATTAAAGATTTAGCTCCATAAAAATAAGAAATAAAAGTGGAAAATTTACCTATTAAAGCTTTTCTTCATCCCCAATGTTCCAATTTTATCCCCACGAGCGATAGCAGACAAATCACCAGTACTACTACTTTTTTTCTCAATGGATGGAATGGACAAAAATCCAGAAGGTGTCTCTTTAGACTTGTCAGTAGATTTCTTGTTTATGGATAACAAAAAATACAAATTGTATCATTTTTTTGCATTGTTTACAAATTGCATTGTTTTTGTAACAAATATGAAATTTAAACATAACTATTGAGGTAACAGAATTAAAAATTAAAATCCATTAGGGAGCAACTGTTATGGACTTTGTTATGGATGGTGTTTTCTACAATAGGGAACGCTGCAAGCTTGGTACCGCCTAAATTTCCGGGTTACTGTTTTCGTTGTATTTTAAAGCCATTTGGCATCATTGTGTTTTGAGATTCTTGCAAACAATGCATTTGATTACTTATAACTTGTGCTTACAATGCTAACAATACTTGTGTTAACAATGCTAAAAGTATTAACACTAACCTAAGATGGTGCACAGCTTGCAACAAGAACAAACAGTAATAAATTTATGGAAAGAGGGCAAATCAAGACTGCAAAAAAGCGAGTTATTCAAAATCTAGCAAACATGTCACCTTTTTTAACAATATATCTCTAAATAACTAAAACAAATTTTCACTTCAAACTCACCAGAATTACATAATAACATTAATATCTTATGAAATACGGCAGATATGAGCTCAGAAATTATCTAATTTATTTCTTTTATTGAAAACAGAATTATCCGTTTGAAAATATCGCCTCGCAGAATAACATGTAGTAAGCAGCTGCAAACTTTCTAACCAGAATTAGAGCAGGCATACAGATCGAGATTGCTATTGTTTACATTTCTACTGAAAACAGCATCCATAGACCATATATACGTTTTTTTCCCTTTTAAACAAAATGTTTAACCTTTACCAGTCAGGGCTCATAACCTTACAAAGCAAGAATTTATTTTGTAAGCATGAACAGGTGAATAGAAAAAAGGGTTGGCAGCCAAGCTTTTATAGCTAGACTTTGAGTCCATTGGACCTAGGAATTCTATGATTCCGAGTCCCTATTTAAAATAATATAAATTTTTCTTTTAAAGATCCAGTACGTGAAAAGTGAATATTTAATGATTAAGAAAGAACGTCATAAGTAATTGATTCAGTAATTACTCAACAAAAAATTAAAATCAAAATTGTCAAATGATTGTCCATAAATGATCAAAATTAAATTATCTTTTTTAAAGATAGTAAGGCACACAATAGTTTTTTTGTTGATAGATCATAAAAAATAATACTTTGCTAAAGGTAGGCTACAGATCCCTGGTTCGATCCTTGAGCCGGGCAAGGTTGACTCAGCCTTTCATCCCTTCAGTGGGTCGATAAATTAGTACTAAGCATGCTTGGGAACTAAACACTGGAAGTTTCGCGTTCGGCTGACCACCTAACCAGAACATCTGCCCCTGCATCCCAGAGTCCAAAGGTCAAGAAAACTGAGATGGGCACTATAGGCCTTGGCCCTCTATGGGCTGTCGCGCCGTTGAGTTTAATTTAAAGGTAGGCTGAAGCAAGTAGCGATGAAAATTGAACAGTATGTATGTTACGTGTATCTTAAAGAATTTAAAAATGAAATATCAGCTTTATCATAATTTCAGCAATAACAACAAATATTAATAACAATTGAATAATATGAAATTATCCTATTCCCATAAAGAAGTATGAATGAATAATAGGTTATATTCAATAAGTTTTAATTACCATTTATTTCAAATAAAAAATACTATTATTGAGTTGCAAAAATAACCAAGCATATTTAGAATGAAAATTATGCATCCCAGAGGAGGTTTCGGAACTTTTTGCGCCCCTTCTACAATTTTTTATATATTTAAAACACTATATCTCATATGCAGAAACAATTTTATTTGATCAATCCAGAAAAAAAAATACATGAGTGTGAACATTTAAAATTCCTTAAATATGATTAAGATTTTGCAAATAAACTGTAAAATTTATATACCATTTCATATTTTAATGAAAAAGAATGAAACTTTATTTATTACTTGCTTAGTTTAATTATTTTAAGTGACACTGTGTCTGTGAGAAAAAGTCTGTGCTAAAAAATAATGTGCATTTCATGGTCTCATATAGCTGAACAAAAAATTTAAGCTAATATTTAAACCCATATATATAAGGTTATATATAAAAGGTAAGTATATTTAATTTTACTCTTAATTATTGTCACACCCACTGAAAAAAGTTGCACTCATCTATTCACAGAAAAAATTTCTTTGTGTGCAAGTTTTGAAATTTTGTATTCCAAAATAGTTCATAAAGAGAATTTGAATCCCAGAGACAACAAAACATTATTTAATGTTTTAATTATAGTTACTTGCAGATGTGACATTTGTTCAAAATCATACCCACAACATCTTTTTAAGTTGAACACAAATGAACTCTAAACAAATTATAAAGTAAATGTATGTAAAAAATATATGCTACAAATATATAGATGACAACAGTAACTATACTCTTTGATTTAGTTGTGTGGTCTCCAATTAGTAAATTCAAAATTAACATTATATGAGCAAGTGACATTGTATACAGTTCATTTATTCAATTTGGATTGATAAATTGTTGCTTCTACAGCAAAATATTTGTGTAAATGATACATGATTAAGAAAATTAATTAAAACCAAATTTAAAGTTTTAAATAAACAGAAAAATTTTTTAGAAAATTTTTTAACATACATTTTTTCAAAATAAATATAATATTGGGGGCAGATTTGTTCCCCTTTTTACTCAAATAAACTAAAAAGAAGAATAAGAAAATAAGAATAATTGAAACTGTCACTGAAATGTTTATCTTGAAGTAAAACAAAATTTAACTAATTTACTTTATTCAATATTAAAAATTTCAAAGCATTTTATTTATGATATTCATAATTTGTTAAATATGCATTTTTGAACTATATATATTATGTATTTTGGTAATATTTATTAAATTTATACACTGTTTTTCTTTCTTTTGAAGAGGAACGAATAACACCAAAAAAAAAATCACGAAAAAATATCAAAGTAAACCCTTTAAATATCTACAAAATATCAGAATATCTACAAAATGAGAGGGGGAAATGCAAAACAAGGAGGAAATGAAAAAGCTTTAAAAAAAAGCAGCAACAGCCAAGAAGTAAAAAAAATTACAGCGACAAAATTAGTATGAGAGGCAAAGTAAATTGATATTATAACCTTCTGATATTATGTTTCATTCTTTAATATGTTAATAAAAAAATCTGCTTTATAAATATTTGTGTTTGTCATTATTTCATTAGCCATACAAGTCACACCCATAAGAAAAATTTGAATAGTTTCTACACAAGCAAGAACTGAGCAAGAATTTAATTTTACATAGAAAACTTATTTAAACATTATTGTCCAACATAAGAAAACATAGCTCGCTCAGCTGTTATAGTTTTAATTCACAAAATTTTGAGTTTTTATACCAAAAGATAATAATGCATATCCTTTTTATGTCAAACCCGCAACTTGGAGAAATTATTTTTTTAAAAAATTAATAAAACATTGGCCATCTTGTGACTTGGAGATTTGAATTAATGTATATGTAAGGCAAATAATATATAATTAAGAAGAAGACCAGCTCTCATAGGTCCCCTTGTAAACCTGTTGCGGAGGCACCAGTTAACTCCATCGAGGTGTGGAAGTATTGCAAGGAAAACCACCTGCATCCTAACAGATGGTCACTCTCTCCTCACAGCATTCCTCTTTGCTCCCAACAAACACCTCTCCCCACACATGTAAACAGCTAATGAAAAGTGACTCAAAACCCGTCTGCTTTTGCACTTTACAGACTTATATGGTTTTGAAAAAGGTTTACTTTTTAAGCAATGAAAATATTTACTTCTGACAAATTCATTAAAAAATAAATATAATTTATTATTTTAACATAGGTGTATAATTTAAATAGATATCGGGACAGTCACTTTATTTTGTAAACAAGTTTAGAGACGCTACGATGGATGAAAAATGTGCGCATGAGTCGGCTCAAAAACCTTTGGTGCTTTACTTGTTGTACAGAAGAACCTAGCTAGCCCCAGCTACGTATCAAAGAAACTAGACTTCTTCTCACATTATGTATTCTTTGATGTAAGGGATCTACATTATGAACCATAAAAATTTAAATCAATGCTCTAAAATATTTTAGGTAATAGCAATCTTAGTCTGAGTAAATGTCACACCCACAGCTTGGTACTGGGCATACTACTTAACAAATTTTCTCTTTCAATCTTAAACATACTAATATGTTAATATAATAAAAGTATCATTATGAAAACTATGTTGCGTTTGAGGGGGTTGAAATTAAAATACACAGTAGTTCTCATAATTTCAATGATGACAAAAGAAAGAAATTTTCTTTTTGTGAAATACCAGTAAAATGATTAATTTATTAAAATTTCTTAGATTGTTTTTAACTTAAATGAATTCAAATGGAAGATGAGTCAAGAATTTTTTTTTTATTTCACTGAAATATTATGGGTGACTTTTTGAGATTGGTAATTATTGAGGTTAACACATACTCTCACACATCACAGTTAATACATGATAACAAAATAATTACTTGTTTATTATCCCCAGCGTCTTCATCCCAGCTATCTTCCCAATCTTGGGAAGCTTCATTATCTTGTCTTGTCAGGATTTGAATATCATCAGCTGAATACTCAGGAGTGCGAAGAGGCTGTCCTGATGATTGTGAATTCTCAATAACCTAAAATATTTAAAAATAATAATAAACCATAAAAGATTGATAATTCTTTATGTAGGTTTAAAAAAAAGCAATATTTTTTATAATAACATAATTAAAATAGTACTACTATAAAGATTAAACTGAATAACTAAAATTTTTATCTAAAAGGAAGATTAATACTTCAAATATGAGTATAAGTAAAAACTTAACTTTATACACTCAGATCTCGATATCAGGTCATCCTAAGGGACATCGCAAAAGTGACCTTATTAGCGGGGTGACCTTTTAACCGATTTACTAGCAGCTCGTATCTAAGCACGTAAATAGTACACACTATGACGTTTTAAAAATGGTAACACAAACGAAAATGATCGGCCATAAATTAAATATTTAAGTCAATACATTTTAACAGAATTAGTAAAGAATTAAAGAAAGTTAGATTTCTTTTTTAAAAAATTAATCTAAAATAAAGCTGTTCACAAATTTCCTCAAAGTGTACATACATGCATTATATCTTACCTTGTTTAAAATAATCATTTATGCAGGTCTGTCTCGTTTTTGGTTTCATTTTTCGAACAATGTTTTCTAGATTTTGTAACATCTCAAAATGTTCCTCAGCTCCCTCATGGTTTGTAAGAAAATTTCGTATGACATTTATTGCATTTGTTGTATCTTTACTCTAGCGCCATCTACAGTAACGTTTTTGTAACACTCAGAGTAGCAATAAACAAGCTGTCATAAGGTTGTAGTGGTGCTCTCTCTCTTGTCGTATTCCAATGCTAGCATTTAGCAGATTTAGAAAAATAACTAATTTTAGGGCTTACCAGCGATAACAGTCCACCCTAATTAAAAGTGAAGATTCATGGATAAATTACCTCCCTTTTGTTACCCCGCATCAACAACAGCAATGAAGGCTTCCACTTGGGCTACAGCTACAGTACCAGGATCACTGTCCACAACTTGTGAAACAATTTCAGAAATTGTAGCTTGTTCGCTGGCTAAAACTTTTTCTTAGAACTCGAGAGGGGTAATTGCCTTGTAAGGAAGTTAAATAGGCTTTTGTTAGAAAAGAGCTTCCCTCGCCTCAAGTAAAAATGATCTTATAAGCGATAACGATTTTTAAAACTTGACCATGTATCCAATAATCTGTAACAAAGAATACTCATTCAGTGAGCCGGGAATTTGGAAAAGTGACCTTATATGAGGGGTGACCTTCTATGCGGATGACCTTATATCGAGGTCTGACTGTATTTATTGCTCGAAGTAATATTCGTTTTGAAACAAAAACTGAATTCAAATTAAAATATCTTTCACAGAGATTCGCATAAAAGCATGTTCTAACAATGAAACTATTTCTAAGTTCATCCATATATTGAACTGCCATTAATTTAATTAATTTTTTTATCAACAAAATATGAAATAAACAAGTTATCTCAAAATAAATTATTTGTTAATACCCAAAAGTTAAGTAGTAAAATATATTACATTTATAAAGACAAATACTGATAAAAATAGGGTAACTATAAAGAAATGTAGAAAAATAAATAAAATAAAATAAAAAGAAATATATGTAGTTTAAGTTAAAAAATTAATGATTTTGCAGACATAGGTAAGCATAGCAAATTTTCTCTTGAAGATTTTTGGAGTTTAACAGAGCATTTGGTTCATGCAAATAAAATTAAATTCACAACGAATGCATGGTAATTTTTACATTCACTCAATTTTATAAATTATTCTAAGGCTAATATAAGCTAAAAGCATAGAAGTGTATTCCAGTTAATTTGAATTCTGTTGCTCTGATCTTTAAAATAGATAATGTCTACTTAGTAATCCTTGAAGAAGAAAAAAACTACAAATTTGAGAATTAAAATTCACTTTAATTGAATTATCTTCAGATTAATTTCCTACATATTTTATTAGATATATATATATTAAGAGGGCATTAGTGAACATATGCCCAAGCTTTCAAAGTCTTTCGTGTTTACTTGGTTAAGAAGAGTGGTAGAAAAAGAAAAAAAAATTATTACAATAGCAATGGACAACTAGTCAATTTTTGATTTTGAGACATAGCTAAGTTAATTTTCAATCAAGCTTAAAACGACACTGTAAATATTTCACAAAGCAGAGCTAATAATAGAACCCCTTTCCTGACTTTAGACATATCCTCAATTTGACAAACATTTACATTTAAGGCAAATCAATTAAGAGGTTCCGCCCTATTTTAGTTGTATATTTATGTCAACAATTATTTGCTTTAATATAAATATAAAACTTTTTAGCAAAAATGATTATCAAAAATAATAAAAATTATATTAAATTTAGATAAATTTAATTATAAGTAGTTCACAGTAAATTAAAGTTTTCTTATAGGGGAACTAGCTTGCCACAAAAAAAATTAGACTACCTAGGTAAAAGCGCACTTACTAGTGATCAATAAAAATGTCATTTGAGAAAACTAAATGTTCCACGAGTACCATTCGTCACATAGAAGAAATGGGATCTGACATAATCACAATTACTTGTAATGATATATTTGAGACTTAATTCAATAATAACCAAAGTCAAATTTTGAAAATGCTAGGAAGAAAGCTGGCATCTCTTTGAAATAGGAGAAAAAAATTTTAAATCTAGTTTTTCTTGATGATAAAAGGTTGGGCCATTTTAATTGATTAGAAATCTATGGATATGAGAAGTTCGTTACAAGAATTTAGACATAATACCATTTCATGAGAGTTAACGGACATTTAAATAAAAGGAAAAATAAAAATGTACAATAACAAAATGTGTGCCAAATTATAAACTTAATGAAATAAAAGAAAAGTGTGCTAAACTGCAAAATAATGATTTTTTACATAAAAAATTATAGTTACTTCAACATATGAAGATGGAAACAATCCAGAATCACCACTGTCATTTCTTCCTTCCCACCAACCACCTCCAACATCCTACAGTAAAAACAAAATTAATAAAGCACAAAATATGATTTTTAATCTAATGAAATTATTATTCCTTAAATTTGAAAAATATTTACAAATTCTAAAAATATTTATAAGTACAATTATTTATTTATTTTGAAATCAAAAATAATTCCTAAATATCATAAAAAATAATGATAAAATCAAAGAAGAAAATTAGCCGTCAAATTTGTAATTTAATCGGGTTTGAGAAAGGAACCTCACTCTATTATCATATTTCATTAGTATTTTTTTAATTTATTAAAATACAAAATTTTATCATCAGAAATGATTTTTGTGGCAAGAACCAATTCAGATTTAAGTACGAAAAAAAAAACTAGAACTCATGCTCCTAGAGATAAATCACTAGTTACCAGGAACAGTAGCTTTTACAATATTTTCTTAAATAATTTTTATTAAATAAATAAACTATGGATGGTAAACCATATACTAAGCACAGGTAGCACTAGCTGTTAAAATTTTTAATAAGACTTCCAAGTTATTACTTTTTATTTTTTACTTCTAAGTATGGTTGGTTGATGTTTATTTACAGTCATTAGGATGCTTAAGCTTAGGAAACATGCCATCATACATTGTTATGGTACCTGTACCATTTATAATATGTGTCATTATAATTGTGTCCCTATTTTTTACCAATCAAATTGGAAATCCATTTCACTTTAGTTGAGAACATAAAAAGCTCAAGGTAACATTCAAAGTATAGCCCCCCTTTTACTTTATAACCTGATAATATTTCCTTAAATCAAATGACCTTTTAGAATTTATAAAATAGTGAAATTGCTTGCAAATTTGAATTTAATCTCAATAAAATTTTAGGACTGTTCACATATTCTCACATAAAAATAACTCAAGCAGAAGAATACACTAAAGGTTTTCAAGAATCTGCTTCGGTTTTGGAATCTCAGTATTGTTTAAACTCAGTTAATCATTGATTGTTTGCATAATTTTAGGATGAAATCACTAATAAATATTTTCAATTGAGAATCCATGTTTAACTGGAGACAAAACAATAAATAAAATTATTTTTACAAAAATTTAAATCCAATAATTGCATTTAACTTTTTACAAAATACTGAATAATTTTTAATGTGTACAACTTTGAATAAAACTATTCATTATAAATATCTTAAAAAATCTAAGAGATTACACATCAGATGTACCAACCTGTCTAGTGACAATTATAATTTCCCCAGTCCAAACACTTAGTTCTCCTGAATCTGGTTGAGCTTCAAAATCATAAAGAACTTTTACCTAAAATAAATATATTTTAAGTATGGCCAATACTAAACATATAAAGGATACTCTAAAATCAAATTAAAATAGATGGATCGTAAGGATTTTTCTTATTTTAGATTTATACACAAGTGAAAACAATAAGTAATCATAATCAAGATGTGTAAAGTACACGGAAAAAAAAAGATAAATTACACAAATGTAAAAAATTTTGAATATTTACTTGAATATCTTTAACCATGGTGAAATAAAAGCCTTATTTTCATGAGAAAGAATGAAACCACACAGTCTTATACCTAAAGTAAACATAAAAAATGAAAACTTCAATACACAATAGCACAAAGTGTTTAAAAAAACTTAAAAGATAAATAAAGTGTTTTTAAAAATTACTATTTAATACAGTAGGGAACTGATTATCCGGAACAATCGGGACCATCGCTATTCCGGATAACTGATTTTTCCGGTTTTCTGAATCGTTACAAAAAGCGCTTTTTTTTATTGTTAAACCCAACTAAAAAAAATATATTTGGAAATAATCTTAAAAAGAAGAAAAAACGATGAAGTGATACACTAATGATTATTTCCAAAATGATGGTAAGGTTTAGGATCTTTCAAAAAAGAAAGAAAAATCCTAAAATCTTATGAGGAAAAAAAATTTTTTTTTGAAAAATGACGGGAAAATGTATTGATTTTCGTTCCGGGTTTTTGGTTTTACGGTTTTCTGATTTCCGGATAACGGGTTCTGTACTGTATTTGTGTCTTACCTGTAATGCAACATTATTAGTCAAAGATTTTAAAATGCAAATATAGAAATTGTGAGTTAGTTGAGTTCAGTAAAATGCTAATGCTAAATTATCAAAACAGCTAAAATTAGCTACTTCTTAAATCCAATTCCCTAGGAAGGATTGGTAATATATATTTCTAGTTCTGAATAGTGAAAGAAATTGAAGTTTCATTAGTCAGAAATTCACATTTCAAAAAAAGTGAATTCACATTCACTTTTTGGTCATAGATATTGCCAAGGACTACTTAAGTAAATAGTTAGTGGTCCTGTCACTCTTTTTTCATTCATAGAAAATTCAAGATATTTCACCTGTACTGAGTGATAACATTAAAAGAAATAGTGGTTTGAATCATTTCCTGGAGACTTTTCTTATTCAGTGTAAATTGAAATGAAGAAAAAATAATGAAACAAAATTTTAGTCATTATATTGGAATGAACAAATCAGTTGGAATGTTTTTCAACGGGCATTAAAATAGTATTCTATCTATGGAATAGTAAACAGGATATTGTGTATCAGTCATTGTAATGGAAGGGTCGTAATAAAGGGAGTTTGTACTAAAGAGGATAGACTGCATATTTGTATGAAAATGTGACAAAAAGGATATAAAGCCATATAAACTGTTCAATGAATAAAAATATACGTAACAATGTAGTTTTCCAGGAAATAAAGTAAGACAAAAGTCAGTGAAACATACAAAAAATAAAAATCAAGTAAGATAAAATTGTAGTCAGCAAAACTATTTTTACACTAATACATATTTTAAAGTGAAAATCTTATGAGCAAATATGTCCCTATTTGATTGGCGAATTGAAATGGGCTACAGGTGGTGTAGACAAAACTCACTCTCTACTTATCGCAACACTTTACATGTTTTCACCATTGGAGTGTGGATAGTCATAGAAGAAGGAAGTACCCTAGCTTCTGTCTTGATCTTCAAATAGATTAAAAACTTTAAAGTTAGGAAACTTTATGAACTGAAAACTACATTGAACACAGTTTTAAAAGAAAGTGTCGCGGAAGTTTTAAAAAATATTTTTAACAATTAAATATGAAAAATATTATGAAAAGGGAAAATATCATAGTACATCCCCATATAACTGAGAAAAGGAGGAGAGGGTGACATGGAACCTTCTCCCCAGATGGCGTATTTGAGCATTCCGATCGTGAATGATAATTTCTGCTTAAACATCTATCTTCTGCACAGTTTCAAAAATTCTTTGTCTAAAGTACTCATAGGTAACATTATACAACATTTTATTTATTTTTAAATATCCTCTTACATCACAATTTATTTATGACAAATATAATATAAATAATAAATATATTTAAGTAATAATCAGAGTTGTAGTATTAAAAGTTTTTTCACTAGAATGCGAGTGATCGTAAGTGGGAAGGGAAGATGGAATCTAAAAATATCAAATATTAACTTTCGATTAACGATTATTAAGTCATTAGAAGTTCTTTAATTTTTATTTTACTTTAACTTCTTTAATCTTTTTCTCCCTTTACGAAAAAAAAATTTTTTTTATTTACATATTTATTCTTACTTTTTCTTTTTTAATCTATAAAAAAAAATTACAGATTAATGAATTATTTATTAATAAACTTACGCATCTAACTTCCATCAAATCAAAAAATTTCAATACTGAATCATTATTTCTCACTCTATCAACTACTACATATTTCTAAAAACAAATATAAGAGAATAAAATATCATAATTGCAGTAAAAAAAATAGAAATGTAGGAATACATAGATGGTTAATTTCACAATTAATTGTCTTCATTTAGCACAATTGTTTTCAGACTTAGCACAATAGAAAAGTTATCCTTCAATTTGTTAGCATTACAAGGAGATTATACAAAAATAGTAATAAATGTTAGGATTAAAAGTGAAAATTATTAGCATAGATCACTAATGTTCAGGCACTACTACACTCTCGGTAATAATTAAGAATATTTTCCTAATATATATATATACATATATGCATATATAAGCATATACATGTAGATATAAGCATATTTTTTGCTTATATTTGAACGAAATTTTCTTAGACCTTTATAGAATACTTTTAAAAAATAGCAAATCATTTAATGGTATATAAAATACATCAAGTGATCATTAAAATGGAATTTCGTAATTCTTCATAGAAATAAGAACAATAATTCTTTGAAGGAGTAACTAAGAAGATTTTATCTTACGAGCAGCATATGTTTTAAATCTTTAAACAAAATGAATATTCGTTTTTCCATATTTAAGAAATACCGTGACTTGAAAATATTAAAATGCATATCATGAAAAGAAACTCAAACAATTCTAATCTTCTAAAATAATAATAATAAATATGAGTATTTTACATTCAAGAAATATTTTATAATGCATGCATATATACATCATCTGCATGTTGATTGAACAGAAAATTTGTTGAAAGAACATGATTAAAATTTTGCAAAAAACATAAACATTACTAACGTATATTTAAAATTTAAACATTAAAATACAAAATAATATATACGGTAGTAATTACTTTATTGAATTAATAATTTTAAAATAAATCCAACTGGATTATTGAGTGCCGCTTACAAAAGAACACTCATATACGAGAGTTGAAAAAAAATTACTATGCTCATTAAATAATCAACTGAACAAAACAGCTGCGGCGAAGAATGTTCAAACAAACACCGCTAAATTTGAGGAGAAATGAAAGATGAGTATTAATCATTACACACTCACCATGTAAACAAGAAAAGCACTCTGTAAAGACCAAAACACTACAAGTAAGAAGTAAATAAAACAGAAACTAAAATATTTCTAGCGCAGACGTGCAGAGTTAACTAATGATGCCATTCAGAGATTATTTTATAAAACTTAGAACTTATTCTTGATTTTTTATATATACTTCTAAACGGAACTATCAAACTTATAAAATATCTCTGCATTTTATAAAAAGTTTTTATTGTTATCAGCTTTATAGAATTTGATCATAAAACACCCTAATTTGTCAAAAAAAGCATATAAGCATATCCACCAATCAAAGTCATTATGCGCCTGTGCTTCGACGCTTGTCAACGGAGCAAAGCAACGAACACTTTCTTCGTTACAGCAAGAGACATTGCCGAGCATATTCATCCAGTTTTAAATATGCGAACAAATATTATATATAATGAAAATATATGTAATGAGGTTTTTATACAAGAATGAAAAATAATTGTAACAAAAAATGATCTAAATGCCTTTTAGGATTAAAAATTGAATATAAATAAAATATTTATAATTTGAATATAAATAAAATTTAATATTATGAAATGTTATAAGGAGAGCATAACATAATAACGATTAATATTTTCCTTTAATTTCATTGATGTAAGGTACCCTTTCTATCAGTCTATGTTGTAAAAAACATCGACAATAATTAAAAAATGTCTAGTATTTTATCGTATGCAGTTTCCCTTTAATGCTTACAGTGTCTGATTTTGGATATTTTACCTCCGAAATAAATTCTCTTAAACAGAAATATTTTTAAAATTCGATTTCTATTCGAAGCAAGATATTCACTAAACGGCAAATATAAGAAAAATAACAAGTGGTATGTGGCCGGGATAGCCTGGTTGGCGCTGGACTCACGTTTGTGAGGACGGGAGTTCGAATTCAGCCGGCCGAAGACTCCCTATGTAGTATATGGTGACTGGTAAACGTTAAATCTGTCGGGGTCGCAAAGTCCTCCATGCTCCCATAACAAATCAGTACCTTTGGGGTTACTGAAATGGAGATTGATCGTTCTCTGGTGCAGGTCAAAGATACGTTCGATGGATGAATGAATGGATGTATGAACAGCTCCGCTCTATAAGCAGGAGTGAAGTATGGGTGTGGCAGAAGTCTAATTCTCAGCCACTATAGAAAACAAGAACAATCCCTCTGCCTTAATGGCCAATGACAACAACAAGGGGTATAGTGGACGTCCGAAAATAATAAATTGGAATTAAACTAATCAAAAAAGCTTCGCCAAGTCTGTGCTATGCTGTGCTGAACTCCCTGTTATTTATCAATAACACAATTAAGATAATGTTAAATTATTAGAAACTATGTTCGACGAAAAAGAAAAATTGGACACTGAGCTACCATTAATAGTAGCTCAATGAACAGAATTCTGCTCTAAAGAAGATGTTAGAAGATGATGTCTCTTAGAAGATGTCTCCCTGCCCTGCAATGAAAAATCAGTTCTGAAATTTATCTGAAGATGCACTTTAGCATAATAGTTATTAAATGAGTATATTAATATAAATTTGTTAGCATATTAATTAATTAATTAATCAGCTATAATTAGCCTATAAGGCAAGTTTCCAAGATCATTTTGGGGAGGGGCAGTTTTGTAAAATTTTAAATATTTTTCAATGCTTAGAGATTCAATTGGCAATCGAAATAGGCTGCAGGTGGCATAGAGCAGAACTCTTTACTTATGGCAACACTTCGCATGCTTTCCCCATTAGCGTGTGGAGAGTCATAGAGGAAGTAAGTAAGTTAGTTTCTCTCTTGATTTTCATCATAGATTAAAATCTTTTAAGTTGGAAAATTATGTGGAACTGAAAACTACATTAAATATAGTTCTAAAGAAAAGCATCACATAAAATTTTAAAAAAATATTTTAATTAAATAAAAAGGAAAAATATTAAGAAAAGGAACTGAAAAGAGGAGGAGAGGGAAGGGAGGGTCAAAGGCATGAAACCGGTCTCTCCCCAGATGGCGTATTCGAGCGTTGTGATCGCCAATGCTTATTTTTCAATTTTTTTAAAAAAAATTGGTGGGGTTAATGTTTTTTTAATATCATCATTGGCAATTTATTATAATTTATTTATTTTATAATTTCTTCCAAAAATAATTTATATCTTCGAGTCCTCAAAATCACAAATATGAAAAGCACCATTAGATTTGGATAAGAAAAAAATAAATAAAATTTTTTTTTTGGGGGGGGGGGAAATATTTGTAAAACTTTTTTCTGTGGGAGGTATATTTCCAATTTCTTAATTTATTTTCGATGCACAAAATTTCGTATTCTCAGAAAAGTTAAGATAATCAGTGTCTTGCTTGGACAGAAGCGCATAGAAAAGCGATTTCTAAATATATTTGCTCCTTTAAAGGTTGCTAAAATATTAAAATATTAATGTGACTCAGAGCCACTTTTATTTTTATAGGGGCCCTGGGCCTGTCATTATCTGGGGGCCCGTTATGAGTAAATTTAGAGAAAAAAAAATTTTTTTTGAATAATTTTTAATTTTTTTTTTATTTTAAGAGTAAAAAAACACATAAATTAATTATAAAAGCTTATATACATTATTTTTATCGAAAATTTAAGGTAACTATACTTTTCGCGCTTTTTGAGAGGCGAATCTTCTATCACATCATCAAAATCAATTTCCTGTAAGACATACATTTTGCTTTGCAGATCAAAATCTGTTAGACTTAGAAACATAAAATTATGAAAGTGTGTAGAAAATATGCAAGGAGTTATTAAAAATACAAGAAAATACAGTTTGATTATTAGTTTTTTTTATAATCGCAGTTGAAAGACTGAATTTTGAGCCAATGATTAACTGCGTAGCCTTGAAATTTTAAAACCAATCCAGAAGACAAGGAAACTCCTGGATCAATACCCAGAGGTATTGAATGTTAAGAGAACTTGGAGGAGTTTATAAGCCCAACAGATTTAATATGCACCAGTCACCATTTTATACTTGGGCCGGCTGAATTCGAACTCCCATTCTCACGAACACGAGTCCATAGCCTTACCATCAACCAAGCTATCGTGGCCAAATTATTAGTTTATTTTATAACAGTCATCGAGCAGCCCACCAGATTTCAAGTTTACTACTACTAATGTTTAACTCCGTAGACTTGTAATTTTGAACCCATTCCAGCAGACAAGAAACCTACTGGATCAAGTTGTGGAAGAAATTTTTGCCTTCGTGGAGGACGTTTTGATCATGGAGCTAGGAGTAAGTGGAGAAGACACTCCCATTAGCCCACTCCTTTCAAGGTGAAGCAACCGCGAGAGTTTTCCGCCATCTTACTTGCTGCGTCGTTGTGCGCTCATACATCTTTCTATTTCTAGTTAATCCATGCTTTTTAACGAAGCTTGGAGGGCGGTTTTGAAGGGTTCTTAATTTGATTTAAAGTGTCGAGTTTAGTCTTTTAAGTTAAATAAGAGATCCATCCATCCAAGCTTTCTCCATTTTTTATTTAGCCGTTAGAATTTTCGTATTTCTAACTTTTAGAAAAAACATTTCAACTTGACAGAATTTTTGAAACAAATGGAATTCTTGGTAAAGTTAATATTAGGTCAAGTTCATTTAACAATCACTATGCACTTTTCAAAACAATTTCAAGAAGATAAAAAAGTTTATTATCTAGAAATTTAAAATTTATATTACTCTGATAGTTTTAATTCATAGGTCCATAAAGTCAGGTAACTAATTATTTTAAGAAAAGACAAGGAAAAAAAATATTAGGTAGTTATGAATGTGTTGCATCCATGGAGCTAACTCCAAGCTGAATATAGAAATAAATTGAATACCACAATATTTTTTTATTTTATTTAAACGACTTAAAACTCCTCATGCACCACAAAGTATAGCATGAGGCTTACAGTTGTAAGTAGAAAACACCACAATACCACAATATTGAAAGATGTTTATTGTTAAAGAATGATTTCAGAAAGTGAAATACATAAATTTATACAAATTTCTCTTGCTAAAAATAAATCCATACATATGAAGATTTATACTTTGATAGTTTTATGAATACTTAAATAGGACATTTTTAATTGCATACAAAGTAAATCAATTTAAAGAAAAATATGTCAAAATGTTTATTAAAAAAAAGGAAAAATATGTTACAGATTAATAAAATATTATCACAGTATTCTAGTGATTTTTTAAAAAAAAAAATTCTTAAACCAGAGCAAAGGCACATTGAAAAATCTAGAAACAGATCCTTAAATATATACATATATTTTGTTTATAAATTGAATATAGCTGTTTTCAAAATTATTAAATTTGAAAGAAAAAAAATTAGCTTAGGGATTAGAAAATTCTATGCATTAAAAAAAACAATAATAATATATATATATATACATTGAGAGAGAAACATGTTCAATGCTTTCAATGAAGCTATGTACATTTAATGTATACAACAAAAAGCAACTAACAATTTTCTTAGAGGGGTGCATTGAACTTTATAAATCCAGAAAAAGATTCTTAAATGTAGAGAAAAACACATTTAATGTTTTCAATGAAGGTATACAACAAAAACATTTAGAAAAAAAAATACTTTAACTTGGAGAGTTTTTAAAACAAAAGTAGATCTATTTCATTTTACAATCGCTATGTATTTATCAATACAACTTAAAAAATATAATTAAATTTATTAAGAATTGTAAAATTTCAACCACCCTGAGAGTTTTATAAGTTCAAACTTAAGAGTTCAAACTTACTAATTATTATACTAGTAAAGGTAGATAAACTTATTACGTTAAGAAAAATTAGAATTTAAAGAACAAGCTCTGAGCGGTTATGAATATGTCACATCCATAGAGCTAACTCATAGCTCAATATAGAAAATAAAATTGAATACCACAATATTGAAAGATGTTTCTTGTTAAAAAAAGAATTTCAGAAAGTGCAATACATAATTT